TGGCAGAGTATAAAGTTACTATTATATTATAAAGATACCAGCAGACTATGAAGTTACTATTATATTATGAAGATACCGGCAGACTATGAAGTTACCTTCATAATCTAATCTAAGTCATATGCGACTAGTCTATTAAAAACTTTAATAAAAAAGCAAAAAGTAAATAATTATTTAACTATTGTAATTATTAAATTATTATTTATATTTTTATTAATTTTAATAGTAAAAATATATTTTAGTATATCTTATGCTTTAATTTATATAAATAAAATATAATGTAAATGTAACTAAGAAAAAAATATTTAAAGAAATTGCTTTTAGGTTACAAAATTAAATTTAATAAAATTATTATTTTTAATAGAGAATTATGAAAAATTTAGGTATATTAAAAAATTGGTCTATTATTTTTATTATATTTAATTATAATATATATATATATAAATACTTAAAATATCTACACATTTTTTTGAAATACTATTAAAAAATTTTGTTATAATCTAGATTTTCTTTTAAATATAAAAAATATACTTCAATATGAATTAATAAATTATTAATTAAATTTATTTTGATAGACATAATTATTTTATTAATAATTTATAATAAATATTAATTGATATAATTAATTTGATATTATCAAAATTAATTAATACTAAAATATAGTAAAAAAATAACTTTAACAGTTATAAAAAAAAATAATTAAAAAAATCTTTTTTTAATAAACTTCTAAATTTAATTAAAATATATAAAAAAAATAAAAATAATAATTTATTATGCAATACAGTTAAGATATAATCATATTTATTACAACTTAATTTATTAAATAAAAATAAAAATATATATCATAGAGAAATTGAAGATAAGTAATATTAAAAAATTATGTTATATTAGAAAAATAATAAAATTTAAATAATGATTAAAATAAATATAATTTGATATAAGTATTGATTTTTCTAATATTTATCTAGTAATACATTATGTAGTATAACAGATATACTTAATTTTATCATATTTTATCGATCAATTTGCTGATCATTTATTCATTTTTATCACATATAAAAATGCTCTGATCAGAAATCTTACATAATAATATATGTTAAATTTTCACTAGAAAATTAATGATTAATATAATTTAACTACGTATATATGACTTTGCTCAAATATTAAAAATCTAAAAATTAATTTATTATGTAATTTACTTAATTATTTATTTTATCCTAAGCTAACTTTATTTATGATGCTTAATTTTTATTTACTATTTTAAAATCACATTTTATATAATTTAAAATATTGAATTTATTGATTTGTAAAATTTGTTTAATCATATGCTATATTGTCTAAAACTTTTAATTTAGGATCAATTGATTTTATATAATATGATAATTTATTTATATATGATTGATAAATAATCAATAAGGTAATATATAAGTCTACTATGTTACATTATGTAACTTTTTAAATATAAATAAGTAAAACAAAAATTTTTATCTAATTGAATAATTAATCTACAATAGCTTCAAATTAATTAAAAGTTCTTATTAGTATATTAAATTGATAAAGATTTTCTTTTAGAATACAATAATCATATTTAGTTTTTTTATTCTTTATATTAATAGATTATCTGATAATTTATTTTAATTTTAAAATATATAAAATTAAAAAGTTTGTTATTCTTATTAAAGCTATTATTACTATTAAAATTAAGATTATTTTTAAACAGAATTTTTTTATTATACTTATTTTAATTAAGTTTGAAAAATAAATATTTATTACTTATATTTTGTTAAATTTATTAATAATGTGAGGTTTTGATTGATTTTGTGAAGCTTTATAATTATAGAATTGAATTAATTAATAATATTAATATAAATATTAAATTTGAAAAAATTAATTTTTATGATAATTTTAAAATTAATAGTTAAGTATTTAATAAATAAAATAAAGTTTTACTTAGAATTAGTTTCTATTAAAATAATAACTTTTACTATTTTTAGTAGTATTTATCAATTTTTTTTTATTTTTGAAATAATAGATTATATATTATAAGTTTCTATAATAATATGTAATTAAAAATTACTCAAGTAATAATTTTAGCTATATTTCTAATAAAATTAAATATTAATCATATTTATTTAAAAGAAGATTGATAAATTTAAATAAGAATTCAGATTTTTTAAATATTTTTATTAATATTATATACAAATGAATTTATTCAAGATCTTTAAAAAAAAAAGTAACTATTTAATTTATTAAGAAGAATTATATTGATTTTAGATTCAAATATAAGTGTAATTTATTATCACAAAATTATTTGTTAATATTATATATCAGGTAATATTTCCAAAAAAAAAAGGTTAATTTAATATTTAACTCAGTAATAAAAATTAAGATTTTTGTAATTTTAATTTACAATTCTAGTATATATTTAATAGAAATTTATTTATAAAGAGTAAAAATGTAAAATTATGTAAATAAAGTGCAAACTTATCACACGTTAAAAAAAAATTATCTAAATAAAATAAGCATAAAATAATTATATTATTTACTTTAACATAAAATGTAAAACTATTTGAATAATTTTTTTTATAATATTTTTAGGAAGATGCATTAATAAAAGATGCAAAATAAAATGTAAAGATATTATATACTTTATTCTATTTTCTTTATTGCTTTTTTAAATAGGTATCTGTGATATAATAAGTAAAATAAATAGAAACTTTAATTTTATATTCTAATTAGATATTTAGTTTTTAATTTTTATTATTATTAAAACAATTTTTAAAGATTAAAGATCTAATTTTTATTTAAAAAGTTTTACTAGTATTAGCAATAATTTTGAAAGTCTTTCTTTATTAAGAATAGAAATAAATTTAACTTTAGTTTCATAATTTTCATAATATTATTAAAGGAATTTTTTTTATTTTTTTAAATTTTTTAATTTTTAATTTTTCATTCTTTAATCTTTTATTTTTTTATTTTTTTTTATAGTTGAATTCAAGTTATTAAAATATTGTTATAAACTATTATTTAGCTGACATTATTGTTAATTATTTTTTGGTAAAGAAAAATAAATTTTGTTAAACTTGTTATTGTTGTTTTATTTATTTTTTTGTTAATCATTTTTTGATTTGAATAATTGATACAAAAGTTTTTTATTTTATCTTGTTAAAATATTATAATTATTTTATTTTAATGTGCAATAGCTTTATATAATCTTTATTAATAGTAAAGTAAAATTTATATAATATTATAAATTACAAATAAAAGAATACAAAAATTTTTATTTAGTTAAAAAAACAAAAAATCAAAATCAACTTTATACTATTTTAGATTAAATTTTCCTAGAATAAAGCTTAATTATCTAGTATAAGGATTCTGATTGTTATCAATCTAAAAATTTGACCAGTTTGTGTCATATTTAAAGAAAAAGAAAAAATAAGAGGGAATTGTAAAAGAATGAAAATTAGAAGTGTTAAAATATTATAATTTTTTATACATATTTTATAAATAATTTTATAATTACTATTTAAGATAATAAATATTAGATTAATATTAATTATATTAAAGATTTATATTAAAGTTAATATAATTGTAGATAAATTTCTTTAAAATTTTGATCTTTAAATTTTATAGTTTAAAAAATCTTTACTAAAATTTTTAAATTTTTAAATATTATATTATTTAAAAAATATTTCTTAAAAATATTTATATTATTAAAGAAAGATCTAATAAGTGATAAGTCTAACAATATCTGTTTTTTATTTTTAAAGGTTTATAAGAAAATGTATATTCTTGACATTTTTTATTTTATTAGTATTGTTATTATACCAATAAATATATTATCATGATTAAATAATTATACTAATTATATGAAAGATTAGTCTGGATGGTAATTATTTTTTATCTTATATTAAGAAATAAATGGATAGTATCACAATGCTGTTGAAGAAAATCATAAATCAAATTAAGAAAGAAATAAGAAATTGAATTGTTAGCAAAGGCAGTAAGTGATATTATAGACTTACTTGTAATAAAAGATATTTTTAGAAATTTTTTTTTTTTTTGTCTTGGCAAATTTAATTTTTGAGCACAAGGTACCCTAATCAAGGTAGTGAACCGGAATAGTTACTATTAAATATAAATTGGTTCAGATCGGACGATTTTTGAAATGATCCGGATGCTGATTATCGAACAAGTCGGATCAAACGACAAGAAAATCTCGGACCTCAACAAATCGGTGACGGTTTGCATTAATGGTAGGAATTTATAGATTAATTTACTCCGAATCCGGTATAATCTCCGATTGATTATTTGAAAGTGACATCTAAATTACCGTAATATGATTCTAAATCGGATTAAAGAAAGGAAAAGAAAACGGAAATACAGTATTTCCCAATCTAAAATTAGGTATTGAAAAAAGAAATAAAGTTGACGAATATTAAAAAAAAAAAAAAAAGTCTCATGAACATCTCACTTCTAAATCAGAATAATGAATTCAACAATCGAACTTGTACTTAAACATTGTCCTACGCAATTAGAATTATATCAACGATGTATAGAAAATAACCCGACAGAATGGTCTATTAAATGTCAAAAAGAGAAATACGAACTAACTAAATGTTCTGAAGATAAGTTAAGTATTGTAACTTTTAAAGTTTTGGATAAATTTCGATTTATAATTATTTATAATTTGTCGTTTAAAAAATATATATATATTTAGTATTCCAACGTTAAGACAAGTTAAAAAGCAATGCAATGAAATGATACAAGCATTTGATAAATGTTTGGCAAAAAATGAAACAGAGCCAGAAAAATGTACGGATTTTTTAAGAAATTTATATGATTGCATTGAAAATGCTACCGATAATAAGAAGGCAAAGTTTGAAGTTGATACAAAGAAATCAAATATTTAAAAAGTGTAAATTTAAATCATTTGCATAATATTTAAATTTTTTATTATTTAAAATAAAATGTTTACTTGAAAACTAAAAATTTCTTTAGATTCACTTACCTTGTTTGTCACTTTTGTTTTTATAGAATAATAAATCAAATATCTTAGGATCTTCAAAATTACCTGATCTCTCAAGCATGTACGCCAATCTTTCATTTTCACTCCGGAGAAATATAGCATTCCCTATATAATTACATATTTATAAGTAAAATTTACATTAGATTTTAAACATCGCCTCTTAAATCTACCTTTTCCATTCCAAGCTGGTTGGCTTATATACAACTTTTTCACAGGAATTTTTTTCTCTTTGCCCCATTTATATTTCCTGCCTGTTATGATCTTAGCCATTTTTCCATTTTTTAATATGCTAATAGTTTGCACACTCCTATTAGAAAGAATAATGATTAAGCGTATGTTTAAAGGAAGACGCAGTATTTCATGTATTACCTAGCAGGAATAATGAACATTATAGCACCAATTCCAAATCCTACGGATAAATAAGATCCAACAAATATGGCTGGTTTAAATTTATCGAGAAATGAAATGTTGTTGCTGGATTTCTGACTTGTTTGAAAATAGGGTTAATATTAAATTAAAATAAATAACAAATAACAAATAACAAATAATTGATTTTACTTGTTCTGTTTTCCTCCTTTGTTGAAATCTCCATGATAAATCAGCCAAATTTGCCCTAATTCATAAAAAAAATCACATTAGAGATTTATTTTTAAAACGATTTCGAAAAAAAAAAAAGAAAAGAAAAGAAAAGAAAAATCAGGAATACCAAAATATAAATTGCAAAAAAGCAGCAATATGCCACCACCAAAAGAATTTGTTCGCCTCTTGTGGAGATTTGTAAATCACCAATTCTCCCCTTTTTAATCTTTCATTAAAATTTTTAACGGATTCTTTAAGTGAGAGTGAAGATACGCGTTCTTCGTTTGTTTTTATAGAATTTGTGATGGTTGAAGTTGCGCTGGAAATGTTTGTAGTTGTTTTTTTCGGTTGAATTTGATATAATCGCCTTGGTATGATACGTGTATTAACGTTAAAGTCTAAAAATGCAAATAAAAAAAAAATTAGATAGTAAATAAAAGTTGCTATAAATAATAATAAAAACCTAATTTTAAATTTACATTTGGATTTAATAGTGCTAGTGAGGCATTTTCCGTAATTTTTAGATAAATCAATAACAAAATTAGGTCGATTTAATATAGAAAAATATATCAATTTTCTTTTGAACATTTTTTTGAGAGGAGGAAGAAACGTACGTGAAAATTTTTTTTTTGTGGCACGTCTCAAAAATCTCGACTCGGAGTTTGTTTAGTTGTTTCAAGTACGAACATCAAACTAATTCTATTTGGAAAAATGACAACTGGTCGTTGTACGAACTGTCCGATTTTGTTCCGAACTCGATTTGGTTGCCGACGAATGATTTTTTAGAAAAGTCATTCAGTATTGAAATGGGCGGTTTTCCGTTAAGATGATCCAATCCTATCCGGAGAAATGAGCCGAACTTCAAGTCATACAAAGGCGGCTTGTTTTTTGCCTTTCAGAAAGATACCGCTCCCAGTTCAGTAGCCCAAAAAAAACTCTATTTTAACGGTACCTATGACTCCGCACGGCACCGCCCGTTAGACTTTTGTTCTCACACATTTTTTTTTTTTTTTTCAGTTTGCGGTTATAAAACAAAAAAAAAAAAAAAAAAAAATTAAATAGACAAAATTTCTTTATACATAGACGTGGGCTGGAATACCACGAGTTTTTCAACAGCCTATATTAATAATTATCAAACATAAAAAAAAAATGCGAGAACTTGCTTCACTTTCCTCTCAATTAAACATTTTACGTCCGACCATAGCCGACGTAGTAACGGACGTACAACTTTTAAAGGCGGCTGAGATATTACGAGAAAAATCTTTTGCATCAGCATATTCTTTAGCAAGTGTGCTGAATGTTATAAAATACGTGTTAGGTAAACCCTACTTTACTGAAAGCGTGTTCGGTAATAAAAAATCATTAGCGTTTGACTTTAGAGGACAGGCTTGTGTTGTTGAATTCGCGTCTGGTGAAAAAAATAAACGTTCCTTTTCAAGCCCTTCTTTAGAGACTAGAAATCCTTCCTCCCCTTCCCAACTTCTACAGCCTACAATTGCCGACATCCTTACCGACTCTCAAACTCTTCGACTTATAGAAGTGTTAAAGCAAAAAAGTAAAGAATCACCATTGAAATTAGCTAGTTTATTATGTATAATAAAAGCTGTGCTTGACGACGTGGGTTTAAAAGGTCTTTTATTCTCTAATAAGATCACATTTACACACCTTGTTTCTAATAATAGCAACAACACTCGAGATTATATAGTTGAATTTGAAGATCAACTGAGATATGATAATTTTTTCCCCCCAACTCAACATAGTAATGAATTTTTGTTAAACGGATCTAATATGATGAATAATACTTCAGAAATCAAAGTATTTAAACCTACTTTAACATCCGACTCTCACCCTTATCATCATCATCAACAGCAACAGCAGCAGCAACATCATCATCAACAACAACAACATCACCACCACCACCAACAACAACATCATCACGATGAAGACGAAGATATGATGGATGAGTTAGAAAAAGATGAGATTGTCGAAGAGCCACCACCAGAACCTGAGGTCTGGAGACATGTACCGACTGTCACCAAAAGAAAACGCAACAGTGACAGTCCTTCCGATGAGGATCATTGTGCACCACAAAATACATCATCGAAAAGACGTTCGACTGATAAACACAAAGCTCCTCCATTGAGTAAGTCAAAATATTTTATTATATTATTTTCTTCTCTTTTCAAGAAAATGAAAAGGTTTAATTTTGATAGCGTGATTTAATTCGATGTCTTTTCATTTAGGTTGTGAAGCTGTTAAACGTCTTTTCACCGGAATTTCAAAAACCACACTTCTTCAAAGACTTGAAGAGTCAAAATTGTTAATATCGTCCATTAAAGAAAGTTATTCTGGTATTCGCCCACCAAATACCTCATTGAATTTATCATCGTCTTCTCGGTTGAATCTTTTATGTCACCTTCTTCAATCACCGCCTACATCTCGTATCGATGGCATTTCTTCAAAAGTTTTTTCTAATTTAGAATTGTATAAATTATTTACTACATACAATGCTTACAAAGAAGAAGTTGCCCAAAATATTCATTCAGATCAAATGAATTCTCCTAGCAAAAGAAATCATTCGACCTCACCAACTTCAACGGAACCATCTCCAATTACTTTCCCAACTTATTCATCCTTTATAGATCCTACCGTTACACTTCACATTAAAGAACAAACAGGCGGTAAGGAAGTTGGAAAACATAGATTGAACTGTGCATGGCGCCTAAGTATATTATGTGAATTGTTAGGTAAAGGTGTATTATTAATGACCAAAGAACTGAGCGGGGCCAAATTGGAAAGAATTCTAGTTGAAGAATTCTCGAAACTGGTTGATTTCTTGAAAAATCCAGATAATCAAGATTGGGTCTCTAGCGTAAGAGAGAAGATGGAATTATCTGGATTTGAAGAAGTTTATGAGCCTTTGGATGAAGCTGACATTGGGGGCGGCATTGTAGCCAGTGGAAATAATAATAATAATAATAATAATAATAATAGTAATATAAATCATTTGGTGACAACATCTATTGGAGGAAGTCTTATTGGGAATGATCTTATGAAGCAGGGTGTTGAAATCAGTAATGGAAGCCATCATCATAATGGAAGTGGGCATGTCGAAATTCCACAAGTAATTTTTGCACTTGATCAAAATATATCACATCAAATTTCATCACAGCAACAAGATAAAAGGATCACAACAAATACAGAAGATACTGTGATGAATCACCTTCATAATAATCCTTTTGGGCAAAGATATTCGGAAAGCGTTAGCGTTACTGGTGATCCTTCTTCAAAAGACGATTCAATTGCGGTACCTATTCAATCACCGTCGCAAAACTCACGTCCTATGGCATATCTTAAACGTAATGAACTTCAAAAGTTTTGAAAATTACAAGCGTATGTTTTGAAACTTGATGCAGAAAAAATTTTCTTTTATTTATATTTGATGTGACATAGCATCTTCAAATTTGTATATACATTATGTCTTTGCATGTCTTTTGAGATTTATTATTATTACCATCGGGGGGTTTATTTTCTAAATGTTTATAAATATATATATATATATTGTTTTTTTATTATTATTATTATTATTATTATTATTTTTTTTTATTTTTTTTATCTTTATTGCGATAGGAATTTCTTTTTTATACTCTTTTTCTTTTCTCAGTTTGTATCATTATTTCTTTTCTTTTTAAAAAAAATGAAATATTGCAGAGCAAGATTTGTTTTGTTTTTTATACTGGTGTAAACGGTTGGTTGAGAGTACAAAACAATGGTTGAAAGATGATATTTTGTATATTTTTTTTTTTTTTCTCCTTATGAATCTTTTTAGTAAAATGAAATTTATAAAAACTGATTGTGCATATATAATTTGAGAATACATTTTATTTTAATTTTTTTTTTTTTTTTACTACCTTTTGAATTTTTCATATAGATTAAATTTAATTTTTTCCTTAAACTAGATTTCTTTTGATAAAAAAATTTAATTTACTGCGGATTATTGTATTCAAATAATAAACTAGTACATTTATAGATCGGGGAAATTTACAACCCAATAAAGATGTCATTGAAATCTAAATAGGTTGATTGATTTTCTTAGTATGAATTAAATAAATTGGATCGGTTGATTATTTCCGATGTATGTGAGGTTTTACAGTTTCGAATTTACAAATTTAGAAGTAAGAAGTTTGTAATAATGAAAAATCTACTAAATTAGATTCGATTTAAAAATAATAAAATAGGAATGAATAATAAAAATAGAATGGATAAAATTTTCCTATTGTTTCAATAAAAATCATCCATTGTGTTTATAATTCAATAAATACCATTATACTGTATATTTTTGATATATTTGATTTGAATAAGTTTTGTCAAAGAAAACTTGTAATACCGAGTTAAAATGAGTTTTTCTTTTTATTTTCTTTTTAGAATAATTAAAAGGAAGAAGGAACAAAGAAATTATTTTACTTTATATTAGATAATTTTAAAAATTCTTGTTTAATTTAGTCAATTTACCAAATGACCATATATGTTCCGAAGTACTGTACATATTTGCGTTGCTACAGTTTGCATTCGCGCTTTTTGATATTTTGGTTGAAAATGGTTCCCAATATAAAGATGGTCGACGACTATCAATGATTATTATAGACTATTTCAATTGATTTAGTTATACATTAATATGTATATTTTTATATGTTCACTCCCCGGTCAAAAGTATTGGACCACGTGATTTTCAATACTCAAATTGATGTAATTCTATCGATCATAACTTTTGATAAAATTAACCAAATTTTTTTTCCTACATAGTTAAAACTTTAATATTTGAATATAAATATATTTTTTTAGTGCTAAAAATCTAAGAACTTATTGAATTTGAACAAGGTGAAAAAATTAGCCTCTGGAAAGGTGTCTACAGCAAACGAAATATTATAGATATTCTTGTCCATTCTATCTCATTTTTTATTGTTTCAAAAATGATGCTCATTATTGAATTTGGTGTTATCTTCATGAAAATTATGATATAAATTATTTAATTTCCACTGTAAAT